ACTTACAATAAATAGCTTCGAGAAAAAAGTCACTTCGAAAGTAAGTACAGTAAGGACAAACACACATCAAACCTTAAAAACAACTGCTATGTCACTTTCTTGCACATCAAACCTTGGAGTGACACCTATGACTTTCTTTTTTAAGTCACTCTAAAATGAAATGCGAGACTAGTAATCAATCAACTGCTAAAGATTAGTTTTGCTGTTTAATGTGTGTTGGGACTGAAATCAATATTTTCTCAACCTTGGTTCCCATCTAATATTAAAAGCTGATGCATAAGTATGTTACTATCTACAGTATGTTGGTAAATCTTTGATTTACTTTAGAAGGGCAAATTGTTTAGTGTAAAGGATGAAAGTTGTAAAAGACAAAGGTATTCCAAATCTTCAAAAGTAACATAATTCTCAGTTTACAAAGTCAAAAGAGCCTAGATGCTAAAAAATAGTACCAAGAGACATATAGACAACAACATCTCTCACTAGTACTCTAAAAGACAACCAGAAAACTATTAAATTTCTAAATGCTATCAACTTACTCCCTTTGCTTGAGCATCTGACCCTTAAGATGAGAAGGTTTGATTATATATTCATAAATCCTTTGTATTTGGTCTTTTTCCTCTTTAGCCACAGCTGATTCTTCCAAACTGTCATGCTGTCAGAATCATACAAGCTAGAGTATATCAAAACATGATTGACCATCAAACTATATTACATCTTAAATACAGACTAAATTAAGTTTGGACACCAATCATTTCACTAATGGTCGTCTTTTTCCCTCTTCTTCACATGACTGTTCCTTGTATTTCCGAACTTCATTCATATACTGAGACCAAGCGTCAGTCTTACCACCATCAGGCTGCTAAAAAAAAAATAATAATGACAACAATTAGTAAATGATTCATACAGGTAAGTTCTATATATGTCTTAATTGCACTTTCTAATAATTTGTCTACCAATTTAAAATATGACTTAATATCATCTTATCTTATATATCCTCATGGTTATTCCCCAGTACTAAAGAATGGATATGTATTGTGCACACTGTACAAGTCTTTTATTTTCATTAAACATACAGACATCCAGTTTACTTTGATTCTTTGAATGGGAACAACTAAGCTTCTTACTTTTAGCTTGAAAAATAAAATTCTCAAGGATATTTTAATTTCCAGTCTATGCAGGCCTAATAACTTAAGATTTTGTGTTCATTTTACTGCTTCAATAATGATAATGAGAAAAAAAATAAAAGAAAAAATAGATAACAAGAATATCAGTTCTGAATAATAGTGTCATTAATGATAATATGAACTACAAATACAATCATCAAAAGAATATGAATCAACCATCATATCAATGAAAATTAAATGCTGATATGTATATATCACATACACTTGAAAGTAAAAGACAAAAGGGTTACTGTCTGGAAGAAAGAGAGCAATAACCAGCTAATCAAAGAATGTAAGGCTCTTGGAAAATAAATATTGCAAAAAAAAAAAAAAAAAAAAAAAAATAGAGAAAGCTCTTAAATGCTGGCAATGAAAAACATTCATTTCATTTCTCATAAAACTGATGAATCTTTTTTGTTCCAAGAATCCATTCTCAATATTATTCACTTTCCCAAGGATAACAGAAATCTCATTATGTAAGTATTTTACAATTTACATGATCACAATTATTAGTAATTAAGAACTAATAGAAATATAACTACTGTATTTTCAAATTCCTTGATGTACCCTTATTGGTTTATTTTCTTTTTGGATATATTTTCATTTCTTAGACATGATGTCTAAAAAATATGCTTTGAATATTTACACAAAATCAAAAATACATTTATAGTCATGGCCATGTTGTAACAATGAGAATCCTTTTTATTTGGCTCAATTATCCAATGAATAAAATATAAGCAAAGAATAAAAACTTGATACCTGGTCTAGACTGCACAGATGCAACTAAATACATACAAAATTTTATTTATATAAAGAAAGGGAGGAAAAGAAAGAAAAAGGTATCTATCAATGCCTATCTCAAATGTGCCTCTCAAAGAATTTTCCAAAAGCAAACATATTTCTTACGTGCCTTTACCAACCTACATACAAACATAAAAACCTGAACGAATTGTGCTACAGGATATGATGATGCAATGGAAGAAAAAGTGCCAGGAAACTATGGAAGGCATCCACTCATTTGGGAAAGACTAATACAACTACATTTGCATGTAATCACCACTTACAATAAATAGCTTCGAGAAAAAAGTCACTTCGAAAGTAAGTACAGTAAGGACAAACACACATCAAACCTTAAAAACAACTGCTATGTCACTTTCTTGCACATCAAACCTTGGAGTGACACATATGACTTTCTTTTTTAAGTCACTCTAAAATGAAATGCGAGACTAGTAATCAATCAACTGCTAAAGATTAGTTTTGCTGTTTAATGTGTGTTGGGACTGAAATCAATATTTTCTCAACCTTGGTTCCCATCTAATATTAAAAGCTGATGCATAAGTATGTTACTATCTACAGTATGTTGGTAAATCTTTGATTTACTTTAGAAGGGCAAATTGTTTAGTGTAAAGGATGAAAGTTGTAAAAGACAAAGGTATTCCAAATCTTCAAAAGTAACATAATTCTCAGTTTACAAAGTCAAAAGAGCCTAGATGCTAAAAAATAGTACCAAGAGACATATAGACAACAACATCTCTCACTAGTACTCTAAAAGACAACCAGAAAACTATTAAATTTCTAAATGCTATCAACTTACTCCCTTTGCTTGAGCATCTGACCCTTAAGATGAGAAGGTTTGATTATATATTCATAAATCCTTTGTATTTGGTCTTTTTCCTCTTTAGCCACAGCTGATTCTTCCAAACTGTCATGCTGTCAGAATCATACAAGCTAGAGTATATCAAAACATGATTGACCATCAAACTATATTACATCTTAAATACAGACTAAATTAAGTTTGGACACCAATCATTTCACTAATGGTCGTCTTTTTCCCTCTTCTTCACATGACTGTTCCTTGTATTTCCGAACTTCATTCATATACTGAGACCAAGCGTCAGTCTTACCACCATCAGGCTGCTAAAAAAAAAATAATAATGACAACAATTAGTAAATGATTCATACAGGTAAGTTCTACATATGTCTTAATTGCACTTTCTAATAATTTGTCTACCAATTTAAAATATGACTTAATATCATCTTATCTTTATAATTTACCTATGCCAAACTTCTAGTCATATGCCTTTGTTTGTTCTTTTGGATCTTCTAGTGATCATTGATAAACTGCTAGCAATAATGAAAAGTTTCTCCACTTAATACTATAATCTTTTCTAGACTCTAATATGTATAAAGTCCTAAACAATTTACCCAACTATTCATTTCAATTTATCCCTATCATGTATGTGTGCCTTAAACACTATTATAATGATCAGTTAACCCATTCACAGCTGGTAAAATTTCAGGGGAAGTTTGGCAAGACATTAATTAATTAAGTACATTAATGCACACCAATCCACATCTGGGTTACCCTACAGTTCACAGCCAGGCTCCCATGGCACCATCCAGGCGCCAGAAATGTTGTGATTAGGTGTCATCCAACATCAGTGAATTTTCTTTCATGCCATGATAGGACATCACTACGTGTGAATGGGTTAAAAGGATATTAGAGGAATTTCTTTACAACAATTCTGATGTGGTAGTGAATCAAGAGTCCATCCCCTTTTAATTACTGGAAATCTAAACCTGACTAGTTTTGTCAGACCAATATCTGATTTATCTAACTGTGCACAAGCCTCATCTAAACATATATGCTTGTTCCTCTTACATATACATTATCTTCAATATAGATTTATGTTTGTGTTCATGCCAACCAAGAGGTGTGGCAAAGAAATACATCCATTAATAACAGAAATTTATATTTATATATATATATATATATATATATATATATATATATATATATATATATATATATATATATATATATTTCATCTAACTTTCCTATTTCTGTCCATCTCTTCATTCATCAATTCTCACCTTTTCACTTTCTGCCTCCTTCCGCTGCTTCTTGACCATCCCAGTGGCCAGGATTCTCCCGCCCCGTCGCTTGCCCAC